TTTTTAATGATCTTTTGTAATTCTTTCTCGTAAAAAGTCCCTTCTAATTCCTCTCCGTTATAATCTTGCACTCTATACACGTAAGGATGCCTTCCAGGAACTCTTTTAGAAATGGTAAACAGTCCTGTGGTCCAGTTAGGTAAATATCCTTTTCCAAATGTGCGCTTGGCTTTACTGATGCGTACCTGATCTCCTTCTTTAAACTGATGTTTAGGAAACTGTTTTCGATTGGATTTCCCATATAAAGTTTTCCAGACTTTTAACACATTAGAATCATTCACTTGAACTGGTGCTCTTTTGATACTCCGATGATAGGTATGATTGTAAGCATACACTAAATCCGGTAAAACTTCTAAATACCGTCTGGTTTTATGACGAGTAAAATAACGCCACATGCGTGCTTTGAGTGTACGCTGAAATCATTCCACGATACTGGCTTTAGTGTCCGTATTACGAGTGGTAAAAAATGAATGGATTTGAAAGCTTGTAAGAATTCTCGATTGGTAAATTCTTTTCCTTGATCCGATTGAATGCGGACGGGACGTCGACCGTCTTGTTGAAAAATCTCTTGTAATCCTCGAATCATTTCTTTTCCTGTTTTCTGTTTTAAAGGCACTACCCAGGCATATTTAGATAAGACGTCAATGGCACATAATAAAAACGTATATCCATCATTATGTTTCTTTAAACTGGACACATCTTCTAAATCTAATTGCCATTGTTCATCTATATCTGTCACTCTAGTCTGTTGTCTCCGGAATTTTCTTTGAATGGGTTTATGTAAGGTATAAGTATCTTGCTCTTTTAACCATTCTCGAATCTTTTTCAGGGAAATTCCTAAAGGTTTGACCTGACGATACAAAGCTTGTATTCCTCCGTACCCTCTTTTAGGATCATAATAAATCTCTTTTAAAATATCTTTCACTTGTTTCTTTTTCATATTTTAGGTAATGAAAGCCAATTTTCGTCGATTTGTCCTAATTTCTTTTCTTCTTCGAGTTTGGCTTTTAATTTCTTTTTAGCTCTAAAGGGACTATATCTGGATCCTACCCTTGTCCCTACAGGGGTTGAAATGGATTTTTTAATGACGGTTCCTGGTTCTTCTATGGGTCTACTCACTGGAGTGTCAAAAAAGGACTTTCGTCTATTTCGTGACTTTTAGGAGTACTGATTTTTCCAGGTCTCTGCATGGCTTTTATAAGGTTTCCATTGCTCACGTATTCCAGAGGAGTACGCGTCTCTTTTAAAGCTTGAGCAAATTCATCTAATCCTTTAGGAAGGGAATGATTTTTACGAGAATGAGATCTCATACTATCAGCCATTAAATCCACAATGTTAGAATCGGGAACTTTTTGACCTCGATTACTAAATTCACCTTCTTTATTCCAACTCAATACCTTGGTTTTCTTTAAATGCTTTAATAATAATCCAGCTTTTCTTCTCATGTTTTTATTGACTATTTCAAGGATTTCATCTTCAATTTAAGCTGGGGCTGCTGGTAATGCTGCTGCTGCTGCTGGAGCTGCTCCTGCTGCTGGAGCTGCTGCTGCTGCCGGGATTTTCAGTTTAGAAATAGGCTCCTGTCTAGCTTGTTGTAAATAATTCCTATATCGATGAAGTTCCTGGCCATATAAAGCGACTTTTTCTTCTGGGGTTAAATCTTCACGTCTTGTAATCTCGTCCAATTACTGACCTAAACTGATGGTTGATTGAAATTCCGGAGGTTTGGGTAATTTTGCCTTGAGATCATTCAATAAGACTTCAGGAACTAACACCATTTTACGCCTCATTTTTTTTTCTTCTTGATGACTTTATAGACGGATTGACCGGCACCAACAATAAAGGTGCTGCTGAGATTAAAAGGGGTAAAATGTTTCCTCCTTTTTGTTGAAGTAATAAAGCTCGTCGTTTCTGGACAGATTGAGATTTGACCAGTCTCCTGAAGATGTGTTTCTTAAGACCTAGTTTTCGTTTATGAGCCCAACTAAGAGGTAACACTCCTTTTAATAGGTTGTACACGATCTCGCAGATTTTGAGAATACAATCTCCAGAACAATGTTTTAAAATACCCGTCTTTAATGGAGAGGAATAGTGAGGGTCAGATAACACTCTTAAAAGAGGCCAATGAGGTTTTAATCGTCTAGAACAGCAAGTCCTTCTTTTCTTCTTCTTCTTAGCCATCATGGGGTTAAAATGAGGACATGTCCCAGGTTTCTCCCCTTTTTATACTCTCAAGGAGGAGCATACATGTCGTGTTTGTTCTTCTCGTGTTTGTCACTATTTTTCTGTGTGACGTAGATTTTGGAACAATATCGGCATTTATATCTCATTCCTTTAGGAAGTTGAGGTGTAGAAGCGGTCAGAGGTTGAAAGCGTGCTATTTTAGGAGTGTGAATGGGTACTTTAATTCTAGGAGTGTGAATGGGTACTTTAATTCTAGGAGAGGGAATTCCCACATTGACTTGAGGAAACATTTTTAAATCGGTAGCTCCTTGACTGCCTATGGGTCCCATAGGACGATCCATTCTCATTTTAGCTTGTTTTTTTAATAACTCCCCAATAGTTTTTTGTCTTTGTTCCTTATAATACTGATTGATTTCGTTTTTTAAACTTTCAGGCATGGCTTTTCGTTGAGCTGGAGTTTTTGGAGTAGTTTTTTTCTTTCTACCACCAGGGGCTTTTCTTTGAGCAGCAGCAGCAGGTTTTCTCTTTTGAGGTTTTCTCTTAGGAGGTTTTCTCTTAGAAGGTTTTCTCTTCTTTCTGGTCTTTTGAGCTGCTCCCCCTACTCGGACCATCCAATCTGGAAACACTCTTTGTTTCTTATTATTGACTCGCACTACCACTCTTTTTAAACGACAAACACGTCATTTCTTAGGTGCATTCCATTTAAATAAATGACGAATGATGACTCCGCCTAGAAATCCGGCTCCTCCGCGTTTTAAAATGGCATTTTTTCTGTCTTGATCACTCGCCGACTTATCGGCTATGATACTTAAATCTTGACGATGATAATTAATAAACTTTTGGGTCTGTTCATTGATAGGTAAGACCCCACGTATCAAATTTCGAGCTCCCATAGCAAACCAATTCAATAAGGCTTTACGCCCTAATTCGATTAAATGGGCTCGCTTGTCAGGATCTCGCTCTCGCTGTAAACGTCGTAACGTTTTCACTAATTACTCTTGGCTGAGAGAGGTCGACCCATGACGACTGTATAATGATAAATGACAAGTTTAATGTTGGTACATTTTTATTTATACTCTTGTGGCATGTGTATAGTTAACAATTCAAACAATCGACTTCTCAATCTGTATTCGTCTGAGGTCTGTGGATTCAAGTCAACCAGGAGATACCCGTGAGGAACACTGGTGGCTTCTTGATAGGCCGACATCAAATGAGGTAAGGCTAACTGTCGACTCAAGACACTGATTTGAGATTTGTCTCTGGGATTTTTAAACAACACTAAATAATGAGCATTCAAACTAATGGTGCGATGCTGTGGTGCCCGGTCAAATAAATTCTGAGTGATGTAAATCACACTGGTATTCCGATGATGCGCTTTACGGGTAAACCAATCCACGACCGATTCGATGGCTTTTCCTCCCATCATGTCGTCAAAAATGAGTAAGTGAGGAATAATTAAATTGGCCACTAATTTCTCATCGTCTTCTGGAATATTTCGAATGAAGGAGACCTGATCTATTAAAGAAGTATAAGCAGGTTGCCATTCTCGATAACACCAGACAATTTTTTGTGGCATGGGGGTAATCCAATGTAAATTTTCCTCTAATTTTTTAACAAATTCCGTTTTCCCCGATTTAGAAGGTCCTGCTACCACCATGGTAAATTCGTGTTTCAATTGAAAAGACGGGAGTGTCTCGTCAGGTTTCATGATGATAAATGAAGAGAAAAATATGGTTTCAATCCTTTTTATTCATAGTCAACACAGAAATATACGTTGAGTTCTCTTCACATCGGCTAGACAGATGGGGCAATACCGGAAGGTGGGAGCACATAATGAACAGCAACATACGTGTCCACAAGGGAGTAAAGCAATTTGTAATTCTCCCTCTAAACAAATGTGACATTTTCCTGTTGCCTGAATCTCTGTAGAGGTTTGGTCTAGTAGAGGTTTGATATGAGGTGAAGGTTTGTATCCCAAACGGAGTAAATGGTTAATGAATACATTCATCACCCACTCACGTCCTTTATAGGTATTGATGTAAGGACAATTAGGGTTCCAATAAGCATGTTCTACATAAGGATCGTCTTTAGGTTCCCAGTTGGTGAAAGTCATACCACAATGAAAACAGATGGTCTTATCACTCACTCCCCTGTAATAAAATCCGGCTTTGGCTAGGTTGGGTAATAATCCTTTTAAAGACTCGGGCCATCCATCTTCAAAGGTAGCTTCTCTCTTTAAGAGCAGAGCATAGTTAGGGTAAACAGGAAGCCCCTCTGGCTCCCTAGAATGAACAGCCATGACTGAAGTGTTAAAATATTTTTTGCCCCCTTTTTATAACCCATCATTTTTGGGGTTTTCCTCATCAAATAACAACACATTTTGAAATACAGTATGTTTTTAATAACCATAAGGTAAAGTGTTATAATCTTCCATCAATTGTCTCTTATCATAGACAATTCTATATTGTTTTTCTAAAGGTACTGTCTTGACTTCATGTTGACGAGTCCTCTGTATTTTGTAAGGATAAGAGACTTGGATTTCATCAATTTCTTTCTTGAGCATTTTTTCTAATGTCTCTGGTGACACGATATTGGAAGCCCGATAATTAAGAGTCAATCCTTTGACTTTACACACGGAATTTCCCTTGGCGGTGAGGTAAGCATAATTTTTGGGGCCTCCTACATGAATTTGATAATGTGGTCCCCGTCTAATTCATCGGTCCATTCTCCTAAACTGTTGCCAAGGGTAGGATTAAATTGTCCCTCCTTATGTTGGTATATGATACTGTCCGTATCGAAATAACGGACCCGATTTCCTAAAGGTTGTAAAGTCTTGAGAGGTGTAATCGGGCATGAGCGGTAGTGAAACAGGCCAGTACCACGTTTCCGAAGGGACACTCTTCTACAAATTCCTGTTTCTCTTGATAATTCACCAGCATCATGTCCGATTCTAGCTGCTCTTTATTTTCTAAGAGTTCTATCCCTTTGATGTCAATGGTCGAATCTTGTAAGAGTTGCTGTAATTCCTCTTTTTCGGTTAAGTATCGGGTTTTAGGTAATAGCAGGCGTTGAGCGAATTTTCCCCACAAGCAATTTAAAAAGAGTTTGGCTATCGTTCTTCGCACCGGATTTTTTTCTATACTTAACAGGTCCATTCTAATACCTTCTCTTTCTATTACTTTACGAATGTAATCTAGTTTCTGTTCCTCCGTCTGACAATTAGGTGGGAATCCAGAAGCTTCCTGTTTGATCTTTAAGAAGGTATCGATGTAAGATCTGAATAAATCTTTACTGCTTTCTGGAAAATGCCAAACCTCGTAAATCCGCTCTAAAGTATATCCCATGTCTAGGGCTTTATGTAATTCTGTAGTCACCCAAGTACCTGTAAGACTGCGTTCCTGGTCTGTGTGTTGACATCGATGTTTAGAAGTAGAGCCCTGTCGTTCCGCACAAGTTCGACATAATGGAAATAATAACTTACCTCCCGTGCGATAAGGTAAAACGGGATGATAAAGGCCTCGGGGTGGTAAGACCCGACAGTGAATGAGACCGAAATAAGTTCTCAAGTCCTGGAATTGGTCTGTTATGATCTCAGGATGGCCTAGGGGAAAAAGTCTGTGTTTTAATACGTAAGGGTATAAGGAACAGACGTCCACGTATCTCATGTCCCCCTCCTCACAATACAAGCGTGTAGAATTCGCTCGGCCTCCGTACAGAGCTTCTCGGGGGTTCAAAGGATCTGGAATGTCCAGGTCTCGTACATAATTCTGTAATGTCACCTCTCTTTGTACTTGTTGATCGAAATCGTGTTCCCAGATACTATGTACGGAATACCCCATTTCCTCTAAGACCGTATTCCTCCTTAAAGTTTCCTCGTGTAATTTCTGGTAAGTAAATTGTGTCCGGTGAGGATGAGGTTCGGTCTGTAAATTCGGATAGCAGGTAGGGCATCCGTGCCAATAGCATCCGTAAAATTCGTAGATGGTGCGAGTAGCTTCCTGGTATCCGTCTACAGTATAACTTCCGATCTTGACTTCTCCTCCGTTTCTAGCATGTCGTATGTGAGATCCGCTCTGGTGACTCATCCAGGTTAGCCAACGACAGGCTTTGGCGGAATATTGACGCGCAGGCTGATACCCCATGTTGGGAATGATGGCAATGGTATCTTCGGGCATGAATCCTCGACGGTAAGCTAAATTGGCCGCACTGGCAAAAGTGATGGATTCCTGGAAGGGGTCTACATTGACCAAGGTCTTGAGAGTGGCTCGAAACTGAGCATATATATATAATATATTCAATATATATATATATATATATATATATATATATATATATATATATATATATATATATATATATATATATATATAATATATTCAATATAATAATTTAAAGCAAACTCCCGGTATGTCTGACCTACAAGAGTTGTCCCAAAAAGTAAGACATTGAAAACTATTTTGTTTCTTTTTGCTGAATTAATTTAATTTATTTTCTTGCCGTAGTAAAAAGCAACATATAAGGAATGACTTTGATAGCTATCCACGTTATACTGGTATAACCTGGGTTGGGGCAGATTACGCGAAGCGGTTTATAAAAAAGCGTAAACTGTTTCAACCCAGGTTATACCAGTATAACTAGGGTACAGTACAGGCAACGCGGATCCCGTATTAGACCGCGTCCCCTCGGCGGTGTGTTAATCCTTTCCGCGTTACACCGTCGCGGGTTTTGATCGCGGTACTACCTGCGACCGTGTTTACACCGCGGCGGGGTCAGCTACCGTTATTCTGCAGTTTGAGTGTTTTTACCTGTAAACGGTTGTCGATAATCACGTTGAGTGAATGGTTATAAAAAATAAATAAGTTTACGGTCGGAATTTTTTTTCAAATATATGCATAATATTGTGAACATGTATAAATGCTGTACTACTATTATTTTTTTCTTTGATTTCAAATATTAAGTCACTAATTTTTCCCCAGTATTATTTACCGATATCCGAACTATAACATTCGTAATTCCCTAAAGTAATGACACGTTTATCTAGAAGTATGCATCATGTAAAAGCTAAATATTGTACGTCGATCTGCTCTGAAATTTGGATTAAATATGTTGTCAGCTCATTTAGAGTTTTAATCCATCTGTTTTTATATTTTAAAAAATTCTATCTTGTAATTCTTAACTAATTCATTTCAATCTTAGATACTTGTCATCGTTTCAAAATAAAAATTGCATCAAAATGCAGTTTCCTCGATCAGCTTGTGCGGTCCGTTTTCTAGACTATTTTTCCTCTGCTTTAATATCAGTATTGAAGATCACGTTAAGTGAATAAAATGTTATACTAGAATTCGTGCATCTCAATTCAGAAATGTCTTTAGTCATATAGCAAAATGACGTGTTTTTTTTTTCAAAAAAAATTGAAGATGTTGCCATTTTGTTTTTCAGATTTATCACATAAAATTCAAATGTACAGTTCTCTCAGATGCCCCTTTCTTTATCCAGTAATTGTAGAATAACTCTTTGTTAATTGAAAGTATGGAGTATACTTCTCGGTCGATCGCACACAACTGACCATGTACCGTTACTCAGGCGCAAACCCTGGAGCGTTATGTAATACTTCCTGTTCTTATATACACAGACGGTCAGTATTTATTTCAAAACCTCTGACCTTAAAAATCACTTCATATATCTCTTACTTGTCCTATCTTCAATAAGTTATAAAACACAAATTTTTGGGTCTTTTTTTTTTATTTTCTAAGAAGACAAGCAATAGAAACATACAGTTTATTTTCTTATGAATTACAGAACAACTCATACAATTGAACATGCAGATATTTAACATTATATTCAAAAGATTATAACACAGTCTTGTCAACTTAAAAGTTGACCACTGTAAACACAACTAGCATAAGAAACAATGCCAAATCACACAAGTTTCATATAATGTCAGTAATTCATCCCAAGGTGAGCACAAAGTCTATTCCGTGAAAGTAAATACAGCGTCGTCACACGTGGGCTCCAGGGGAGAGATGGAAATGTCACAGACGGAAATGTCACTTAAAGCATTGACCTTCTTGCATCTTTTGTCGTTCCTTCGAAGTGACTCGTTAACTCTGGAAACAATACGCTCTCTCCACGCATCATCACTGGCAACCTCAGGATAAAAGAAACACACATATTTCCGAACAACTGTCTTCCTCACGGGGTCCAATTCCTTTTTGTTGTGTTTTCCGCCGCCATACCAGTTATACTGGAAACGCAAATTCCCCTCTCCATAGAGCTCTGGCAACAATCTCCTGGATAGGTTAACAGCAAAGTTCCCAGCGTTTCTGGAATCTCTCACGATCTGTCGGAGTTCGCTGTCTTCAAACTTGTATTCCTCTGGAATATCACTGACATGTAGATTATCGTCACCGGTTGGTTCACTTGTCACAGTCGGTGTTTCCTGTGGTCTTTCACGCTCGGAGTTTCGGCCAATGTCAATCAAAATGTTGGTGTTCCCTAGGAGAGTCTTCAGAGTGGCCTCATAAGCCGCACTTCGACGATTGGAAGCGTCAACCTTTTTATTTAAAATGTCTATTGTCTGTTGCATATCACTCATCTTCTTCATCATGCACATTAGGGCAGAGTGCACGCTCTCTTCCCCCGTAGATTGCCTGTAGGCTCGGAATCGCACAGGAGTTGGATGGTGTAGGAGGCTTTCTGTTGGAGTGGATGGCGTGCCCGTCGATGTGGTCGGCGTTTCTTTTGGCTCTGTCTGAGTCGCAAGCGCATCGTGGCTGCTAACTGTCGGTTGCGCCGTGACGGAAACATCAGGTGGGGATCCATCAGCAATGACGGTTGCTCTAGGCTTTCCAGATTTCTCCTGAAATGGAATAAAAATTTAGTCTTCAATATTTTTTATTAAAAACAAATATTGCTATTCATACTTTAAATCATAAGATTCTCACATTTCCTAAGAATAGCTTGCAATACGTGTTATTAACAGTTGTTAAAAAAAAATATTCTTTTCAATATCTTACAATATCGATAATCATGATAAATTATACAACGTATTACACCAAACTCGAATTTATGTGTAATTTATTTTATTTATTTATTTTTATGTCTGGACTTTAGTCTGTTCAAGTGAAGGGGGATGTGTTTCACAGGATTTTATATTGCTGAAATTAGATACATGCAAGAACTATTTGTAAATTAATTTTGTATATGTGTAAAATGAAGTTTATTTTAAATATAGTAAACATTATGTTTATAACCGTAAAGTTCTTCCTAATTAAACTCATGTATTAAAAAAGGGGGGAATACACGAATGGGACGGGATTTTTTATATATATATATATTTCCACGAGTGCGAATGTACGCATCGAAGTAATATGAAATACAAGTAACACTTATGATTAAATAAAACGACTTCTTCCTACGTTGTGTTTAATCATTATGATAAAAAATCTGTTACGGGTGAATTGGTTGTCAAAAAGTTGGAAGGTAAATTTAAGATTGGATTTACCACTGTACCTATTACACAGTGTTAGTTAATTTCATCGCTTTTGTGTATATCAACGATACCAAGCGATCCTTTCTACCGTATCCCCTCGTGTTTGGTCAAGCGAAACGGCTTACCTGATAACTTGACAGCGATGGTTAAAAGTCAGTACACTTGGTACATGGAATCACTACACCTAAACAATTTTTTCCTCAATAAAATTAGAATTCGGGAAACTTAAAATAGATATTTAAAAAAAAAAAATCTATATAAAAAGGGGAAATTACTTTAGGAAGATATCAAGATAACAAAATAAAAAAACTCTATAAACCAAAACTAAATTGCGTAACACCAGGGGCGGATGTACGTCCCATGTAACATTGCGTAACTTGCTCAAGATTGTCAGCAAACCAACACCCCAACTACACCATTCTTACAGTATACGAAGAAGAAAATGGGGCGGATTCGTCACGAAGTAAAACTACGCATTATCCAAATGCACAGAAATGGTTCCTCAACTGCCGCAATACACAGAGAGCTGCGTTCTTTGGGACACACGGTTAGCAGAGACACTGTATCTTACTGGATACACAAGTATCAGATTGGATTATTTGGCGATATTCGTGAACCAGACACCCCAGTGGTATCGACGAGCGTTAGTCTGAGGGACACAGAACTGATAAAAGAATACATATCGAAAGACAGTACTGTATCAAGCACGGAAATCCATCGGATGCTGAGGGAAGACGGTGCAAGCTTTGGACTGAGTACAACAAAGTGGGCCATAACAGCAAGTGGTTTTACTCATTCTAAACCAAGATATGGACAAATGGTTCGTGACGCTAACAAAGTGAAACGAGTTGCATTCTGTGAACGTTTGATTGCCGAGAACGACAAGTTCGACGACGTTATATTTTCAGATGAGTGTTCAATTCAGCTACACCAAAACAAACTCTCTAGTTATCGACTCAAAGATTCCTGTGCTACAGTTCTACCAAAGCCGAAACACCCACTCAAGATCCACGTCTGGGCGGCGATAAGTAAACGTGGGGCCTCTAAAATTAGACTTTTTGAGGGCATAATGGATTCGACATTTTACATCGAGAACATATTGCGGGACACTCTCTTGCCATTTATTCAGACGAACTTTGGTACTGAACCTCACAGATTCCAGCAAGACAATGATCCCAAACATACATCCAAGATCTCCAGGAAGTTTATGAATGATAACCAGATCAATTGGTGGGATGAATGGCCGGCAGGTATTTATCTAATTTTTGTTATTTAATCTTAAAGACGTCATTATTAAAATTTTCGTTCAGCAATGTTTCAGAATTCATTAAGTTAAATGATAAATTAAATGATAACTGAATTGTCTTATTTATCTATGATTCTCTTTGTAATTTTCATCAATATTACAATTTATCTTTTTACTGATAATAATTTTTTTTATTGCAGAGAGCCCTGACCTCAACCCCATTGAAATGGTATGGAACGATTAAAGAGATGTGTTGCTAGGGAAGCCCCGAGGACAAAACATGATTTGCAGGAGTGTGTTATGCGATTCTGGAGGACGGAAATGACCCCAGAAAAGTTTTCTACCTACATTGACCATGTGTACAAAGTTGTTCCGGTGTGCGTACTGATGAAAGGAACTGCAACTGGTGATATGCCTAAAAAACTGTTCAACGAGAG